GCAGGGATTGTAGGTGGGGGGAGTGAATGTACAGCGCTCTCTCCCACCTTCAATACCCCGACTGAGGTACCCTTGATCAAGGCACCGAATCCCCAACTGCTCCCCGGGCGCCGCAGCATGAATGGCTGCCCACTGCTCCGGGTGTGTGTTCACGGTTTGTGTGTGTTCACTGCTGTGTGTGTGCACTTTGGATGGGTAAATGCAGAGCACTAATTCCAAGTATGGGTCACCATACTTGGCCACATGTCACATCACTTTGTTTTTCATTAGTGTTTTTCATCAAGGAGACTGACCCTGAGAATCAAGACATATATAGACATAAACAGTGTGTGTTTAAAGAGATATATGGTGTAGTGAGGAAACAGAGGGAGATGGAAAATCCCAGTGATGACTTGGAAACCTGTTTGAGCCTGTGAGCGGAGAAGCTGAAACAAGGAAAATCAACCCTTAACTATGATTTAACACTCAACATTCACTTTCTCTTCCACACCCTGGTTTTTAGATTAGTTTTAAAAACAAATAAAATCTGATTTAGGGCATGGTCAGGAGAAATTATGCAGACCATATCAGCTAATCTCTAATTACAGATTCAAGTATTTATGTACAGAGTAAGTACACAAAAATAAATAAATAAAGAGTCACTGATATGTATATAAGTGATCTCTCTCTCTCTCTCTCTCTCTCTCTCTCTATGTATATATACTATCTACATTTTTGTGCTTAAGGAGGTGGAAAAAATCTATATCCTTCTAATAGTACATACATGTACAGTAGATATAAAGTCAATTTAAAAAATTTTATATTTCTGAGAAAAGCTCTAGCAGCATTTGTTTGCAGGTTAGTTGGTATTTTTTGTAATTCAATGAAATTGAGATATTTTAAGTTTCACTTTGCTTGTGTGGTCAATAAATGACATTCTCATAAACATTTAGCAAACAACAGGTTATATTCTCATTAAATGATCAGTTTATCCACTGACGATTCAACAGCATCCTTTCTCACAGTCCCACACACCCTTCGGATACTCCTCAGTACAACCAGATTTCTCTAGAAATGTATATTGTTTGAGAATTTATTGAGTTATTGTTGGACAAAATAGTCCCTTGTTGTTTCTTCATGCCAAAAGGTTAAACAAGTTGCAAAATCGAATGATTAATTTCACACTTGATTTCAACTCTTCTCAGAACATGAAGAGAGGTGAAGTATTCAGGCTTGATCTGTACGAGCTGTCAGCAAACAAACATATCTTTCTATTGTAATGTGTAGTTTGGAGTCAGTAAGATTTTTTTAATGTTGGCAAAGAAGCTCACCAAGGCTGCACTGTAAAAAAAATTTACGGTAAAAAAACGGCAGCTGTGGTTGCCGGAATTTTACAGTAAAAAATACGGTAGCAACATTTTAGGTTTTACGGTTTTAACTTAAATTTACAGTTAAATACCGTAATTTCATTAACTGAAATAATGTTAATATACCAACCTATTGAAGTACTGAAATCTGTTTTGTACCTTTGTAATACACTGATAATCACCAAATGCAGGTGGTGATGAGAAAGTCACATGATGAACCAAAGCCATCACAAACAGCTTTTAAATAATAACATATATAGAAGGTGCACAGTGTCATTCACACAAACTCCAAACACCATCATGGTAACACACATGAAACTGAAATAATGCGATAAACATTCATTTAACAACATGTAACATACAACCCTAATATACAAAACTGATAAGGAAACACTAAGAAGAAACATAGTTATTTCAACAACAAAAAAACATCAAATTTGAAATGTAACGCAGAGAATTCTGGGAATGTTTGGGATCGGTTATTCACTGTAAATTATACGGTCTTTTTTCACTTCCAAAAATGGTCTGCTACCGTAAAATTACATGTAATGTCCAATACAGTTTTTCACCATATATAGTAGGCGAATTTACCGTTAACCATTTAACAGGATTTTACTGTAGCATTTTTACAGTCTTTTACTGTTAAATTCACGGTAATTTTTTACAGTGTGCATTTTTTTTTATCAAAAATGCTGGAAAACACTAATATTGCGAAATATTATTACAATTTTAAATAACTGTTTTCTATTTTTATATGTTTTGAAATGTAATAATCTATTGTGACCGTCAAAAATGAGAGATTGTACCTGGTACTATTCCACTCTCTCTGTTCATGGCGGTCTCAGCAAGAGGGGGTGGATTGGTATTTGCTGAGCCTTTAGAGACAATGAAGATTATGTTAAAACATGCATGTACAAACTATCATTAACCTGATGTAATTAAGGCTGTTTGATGTACTACCATTTCTATCAGAGTTGGAGGGGGGCCATGAAGACACTGGGGAAACTATCTGGAAAGAGAAAACAACAGGCTATTCATTTTTTTTTATCAAAAATGCTGGAAAACACTAATATTGTGAAATAGTATTACAATTTTAAATAACTGTTTTCTATTTTTATATGTTTTGAAATGTAATAATCTATTGTGACCGTCAAAAATGAGAGATTGTACCTGGTACTATTCCACTCTCTCTGTTCATGGCGGTCTCAGCAAGAGGGGGTGGATTGGTATTTGCTGAGCCTTTAGAGACAATGAAGATTATGTTAAAACATGCATGTACAAACTATCATTAACCTGATGTAATTAAGGCTGTTTGATGTACTACCATTTCTATCAGAGTTGGAGGGGGGCCATGAAGACACTGGGGAAACTATCTGGAAAGAGAAAACAACAGGCTATTCAGTATTTCCTAAATTTGATCTTTTAGGAACTAAATGAATTGCAAAAAGTCAGTGTTATTATAAAGCTTGGAATTTTTTTTAAATTGTATTCGTCTGAAAGAAGAAAGTCATATACACCTGGATGGCTTGAGAGTAAATCATGGGGTGATTTTCATTTTTGGGTGAACTATCCCTTTAAATACCATAAGAGAACAGTGATTGGTGCGGAAGGGTTATATAAATAAGCACAGGGTGACGTTACATAAAAAAAGTAAGTTGTTTCAGAAGCGTGGCTACATTTTGTAAGAATAAAAGAATGGAAAGACAACAATGATTTTTGATCTTTACACTGACACCAATCTGTGTGGATGCAGCATCAAATCAGAGCAAGTTTTCAGATACAATGTCAATGTAGACATTACCTATCCACATGTATATTTCTCACCTATGATTAATCTATTCTGTAACATAAAATGCCTGGTTATGGAGATAAAGCAAGTAGTATTTGTCTAGTCATGTGATTCCAACATGGCAGCTCCCATGACGGGCGACCTGCCCCATGTAGAATCAAGCAGCTTTGAAGTATTCATCAAATGTAAGTGTACATCATTTTTAATATATCTGTCAAAAGTAGTATTCAATTATCCAGAGGTAAAACTGTGGAAAAGTTACATACACCTCTGTAGAACCTATCCCATCCAAGCACTGATATGTGGCAGTGAGAGAGGGGAGCATGTCCCAGCACTGTTTAACAAAGATAAGAAACTATGCCATGACTGAAAGTTTCCAAAACATGCTGAAAGACAGGAAATGAGACAGAGAGAGAGAGAGAGAGAGCAAGAGAGATTTACTGTTTCCCAAGAAGTTTTGCTCCTCAAACATTTGATCTGTGCTGTAAGTGCAATTTAATCTGATTGCAATGATGTAACCTTTCCTCCTCAGCTTTGCAGAATAGGCTACACATAAATTAGAGAGATCTAAAAAAAATAATAATAATGACAGGCTTCTCATTTTTGCGTGGAATATCCCATTAGCACATCAAATGCAATGTGCTACATTTGAAACGGCATGGCAATATTTTATTGTGTTACACTGCCATCTTGTTGCACGAACACTTTGGTGCATATGAGTAGTATTGCATTTAAAACTTTCTCTTTAATAGCATAACTTTTTAATATTATTAACATTAAATACTACTGTTATTTACAAAATATTGATATATTTAAATAATTTATGATCAATTGCAAAGCCAGTAAAAGAATCATTATTGATGTACAGAGTTGTATTACATTTTATGTATACTGTAATGTGAGAATGAAACAAGTGAAACAATTGCCTGAACTTTAACTTATATTTGTGTTTATTTTTAGTAGTAATTAGTTTGAGATCAAACAATAATTAACTTCCAGCAGTATGATTATGGACCTCCTGTTAAAGACTGTCTCCTGTTTACTTTGTTTGTTTTTTTTGATTCTGCAATTTGATACTAAAATTATTAAGAAAGACATCAAGCAAATGATTATGCCACACTGTCTACCATCATGCAAAGGGTGTTTGTTGATGCAGGTGACCCATTTCATCAATTTACTTCTTAATCACAGTTCTGTTTTTGATGGTCTTGAAAAGCAGAAATGGAAGAGTGAGAAACGGCCCTTGACCACAGGCTTTCGCTCTCAGTGACGTACAGCAATATTATGTAAGGCCAAAATTACTGGTTCTCCCTGCTGAAGATTGCAATTAGCATTGCTAAATGTAGAATAGTCAGCCTCTACTTGTATGTCTTGGGCAACAACCATGTAAACATGGAAGCTCCCCCATGGAAGCCCCCCCAAATAAAATTAAGAGTTACTCAGTTTCACTTTTAAACCTGCTACATAACTTCCACATATTCACAAGATGTGCAGGCAATATTTCCAACACTGTCATTCGAACTTTTGTTTGGTTAGAGCCACATCCGTTATGAACAACTGCCTGCTGTGACCACAAAAAAACAAGCCCACTCTCTTGTACTATACATGCAGATGACTTGAATATGTCCAGAAGTTTGCGTACCTCATTATTTCACTGCAAAAACAACATTTCTGTCTCGTTTTCCAGGGGGAATTTTTTTTTTAAAGATTTTAAAGGGGTCCTATTATGCTATTTTACAAAGTCTTGATTTTGTTTTGGGGGTGTACTAGAACAGGCTCTCATACTAGGTTGTTCGAAAAACACATTATTTTAACATATTTTACATTATTACAACACCTCTCTCCCCAGTCTGGCATGAACGGCTCGAATAGTTCCTATATCACATAAAGGCCCGCCTTCTGAAATGTGCTGTGATTGGTTAGCTGGGCCAGTGTGTGTTGTGATTGGCAGCACTCGGCACCTGGTCGGGAAATGTCATGCCCCTTACCATAGCTACCTGCAAGCTTCAGTGTAAATATTGAGTCAAAATCAAATCAAATTGAGCGAGATTTAAACCCGGATGATTGTAACCACTCTAAGTTCATCTGCTTTGGGAAAGCTAGCGTGTCTCCGACATAGTGATAACACTCGTTGCCTTCTCTAGTGCAGCTCAACCAGGTCTCATCCCATTCGTCAATATTTGTGATATCACAAATCCCGGAAAATATGCGTTGTAGTCCAAACGAGTCGTTCGTTGTAGTTTTTGAAAAGTGATTTCTGTTAAATAAAATATCTCCTTTTGAAGTGGACTTTGAGCTTTGTAACTGTGCAGATATTTTTTATGCTCAAACAGCAACATTACAGACTAAATAAAGTTGAAAAAGGGAAAAAGCATAATAGGACCCCTTTAAGAAGCATTTCTTTAAGTTTTAAGTTTTTAAGCAATTTCTTTTTTTTTTGTTATAAATATATTTTGTGAGGTTTATGTTTAAACACAAAAAATAAACAATTCATAGTTTATGTATATTTTGGCTCATTTGACCCTTACGTCAGAATACAAATATTTGCATGTAAGAAGCAGCAGGTGGCAGTAATACATCACGTCTCGTGTCATCCACCTGAATGCTGTCATAAAGTTCTGCTCCAAAACAGGATGCAAGACTTAATTGCGTTAATCATAAACATATGTAATAGAATGTTTATGACATTTTGTTTGACGTCAGTTTTAATTAAACACAATTATTCAGAATTTGTGACTATTGCAATTTAATCAACTACTCCACAACACTTTTTAAAGTTTTGTCATGATCCATCCTGATCCACGAGGTCTTGAAAATCCCTCATAAGGTCTTGAGAATCTCTGAAATGTCATGCCAGTTTCATGGAGTAGGATGCAGAAGTACATTTTATCATAATTCTTCTTTTATTTTATCATTTTAATATTTTATTGTTTATTTTAAATCAATGGCTTCTTCATCTTCAGCCTTGTTGTACCGTATAAAGGGCTGGACCAGGATGGATAATTAAATCCATTGTGATAAATGTCTTTATACTTCATCATTTTCCACTATTTATCTTTATGTTTGAGTGTAATGTCAATTTAAACTTTTATTACAACAGACCTCTAAAAACAACAAGTCACTCAATAGTACAGCAGCTTTATTTACAATAATGAATCACATGTACAAAGTATATTCAAATCCTGCATTAAATAATTTTACAGTTGTGATTACCACTGGATATAAACATAATTTAAAAGTCAATAAATAAAACAAGCAATAAACAGTGCACAATTACCTTGCTGAACCTGACCAGTTCATATATTTACAATCACATCTACATAGTTCCCTGCACGTCTCTCCTAAACTCCAAACAGTCATGAAGGTGCAAGTATATGTAACACTACCTGAATGTGCTCAGGACAATAGCTAACAAGAAAAGATGTATGTTGTGTCTAAAAGCGTATTTAAACGGCAAACATCTGACTTTACGGCATAAAATAATACATATGTTAAATATTTCAATAGACTGTATGCATGTGGTTAATAGATGTTGCCAAACAACCCTGTAGCCGGCCACTTCACATACGCATGCATAATGCTGAAAAGGAGAAAAGCACGTTCACCATATGGAGAGGCTTTGAGAGGCCACTAGAACATTGCGGGTCAGCTGTGATTCATGAGATCCACCTGACGAGGCCGAATCGTGGTTTATCACGGTGTCAGGATGCAGGTGGCCATCTTGCATGCCACAGCGGATATGAGAGCCGCGCCCCGACCGCTCCCCTCTTCTGATTGGATGAAGGTAATTTCGCAGTGAGGATTGATTTCCCACACAAGCTTATGGAACCGCTCCTTGAAACTGAATGGGAGAATTTGGAAAACACATTTTAATTGTGTGTATATCACATTGTGTTATATCCTTTACTCTATCTCTGTTTCCTCTTAATTTCCCCCCTCATTTCCCTTTGTTTGCCTTCCCATAATCCGTCTCACTCCTCTTGTACTTACTGAGGGTGTAGTTTGTAGACAGAGCCATCGACTCCCACAGTGATCTTCAGTTGCTCTTGACAGCGGCGTTCCCTCATTAGGTTGATGACGCCAGCGAGGCCGGCCCCGCACATGTGAGCAGCTCGCGTAGACACGCTCTCACAGACCAGACGCACAACATCACAGTCCAGCTCCGATGGTAAGATTCCCAGTGTGCTTAGGATGTTGTAGATCTGCTTTCTGTCCCCTGTGTCACTGAAATTAATCAAATAAAATGTGTATTAAGGTACAAGCATATGCGTTGTTATATCAATTCTGATTCTCTTAACCTTGCAGAGATAGTATCATCTTTTCATCATCTTTGGCATTTCCCTTGTGGAAAAGAAGTATACTTTAGCATATTTTTAGTACTTATTACAGACATACTTTAGATGAATATATTTAAAGGTGGGGTAAGCGATTTTTCAAAAACGCTTTAGAAAACTTGATTTGGGCCGACCAGCAAAACAAACTTGTAGCCAATCAGCAGTATGGGGTGTGTCTACTCATGATGTGGAGGAGAGAGCGTTCAGTGCACAGGACGGACAATTAGCGAGCCAAGCGACAGAAAGATAGAGAT